CCATATCGTAAGTTCCATTCTGCCCATCATGATCGTCCATTGACCAGTGACCCGATGGAAAAGGAGACCAGTCAAAATCAACTTCCGCAATTCCTACCCATAGTATATTCCTATTTGATTCCACCGCCACCTCTTCATTGATTTTCGTCTTTAAAAAGGTCCAAAAAAACAACAAACGAATGAAAAAAATACCAAAAATATGAATTGAAAACCACTTTTATGATTAAAAAGTGGAACTTGTTCTTACCATGTGTAACATTATTTTTACTAAAACGATTTTATTCCTTTAGTTAATTTTACAAAGAGACGATGGAAAATAAATATCATGCCACTAGAAAAACAAAAAAAGGTTAAAATAGAGGTGTCTTTTTTAAGTTTGTAACGCGAAATAAGATGTTATTTTAGATTAAACCCAAAAATAGAATGCCTTTTTTCCAACATTAGGTTAAAGGCAAAAATACAGTTGACCATTGATTTACACAACACAAGAAGCTAGAATATCTGTAAACATAGGTTTCTTGTTAGGGGTAAAAAGGTAACTTACACCAAATCTTCACCCTATACGGCAAAATTTAGCAACATTTGTTGTTAAATCAGGTGATATTAACAGTTGATCCTATGCACAATACCTTTCCATCCACGTATTGAAGAGCAGAGTTAGCTGCATCAATTGATGTATAAGTAACAAATCTAAATCGTCCATACCTACCAGAAGAAAGATGATTACATGGTGTCAGCAAAACTCTATTTATAGCATTCAAATTCTGGAATTCAACAACCGAATTGGGAATTGAAGCTTTTCCAGTTCAAAGTTTAATTTGATTGTGCTAGAAAGTAAACCCGATTAGTGTAATAAACTTTCCGAGCACAAAACGCCTTCAGAGGTATGAAATTAGCAGATGCATAGATGCATAAAGATCAACCAAAACAAATTGAAAATGGGAATCGAATACATGAGAAAGTAGAAAGAAAACAAATTAAACGAACCCTTCTTCAACAATCTTGACATCCGACAATTGAGAAGTATGGAGTCGAAGTAACGTAGGATCCTGATTCGATTGTTGTACCCAGAGGGTGTTTGGGATTGCTTTAAAAACAACTTTTGAACTTTTCACTTTTTCAAAAAGTCAAAAAAGTTCAAAAGATGTTTGGAAACTTGAAAAGTTCTTTTTAAAACAACTTTTGGGCAAAGGAAAAAAGTTTGATTCGAAAAGTCATAAAATCATGACTTTTGTGACTTTTTAACCTCTTAAAAGCAACTTTTGTCTTTTGTCCATCCAAACACATTTTAAACCGCTACTTTTGGAAAAATACCTTAATAAAAAGTTCTTTTATAAAAAGGACTTTAAGGTTAAAAAAGTAATCCCAAACTCCGCCCCCTCCCCCCAACACCAACTTCTCTGCCATGGTTGATTGATTGATAGATCAAGTCTCTGTATCAATCTATTGCTAATTAAAGAGAGTGCAAAATAGAAACGAAAAAGAGAAGGGGTGAAGTGGTAGCATAGGAAAGAAAAAGGTGGTTATGGTTTGTTTCATTAAAACTTCAAAATGGTCTCTACATATCTTCGAAATCGAAGACAAAAACCTTAAAACTGTCAATTCGTGGCCGGAATCGGAGTTTTTATTCATAACAGGGCCATTGAAAAAACTATTTAACATTTTAATATGCTTTGAAAAATATTTACCATACGAGTATTGCTTTTCATTTTTCTTTTATTTTTAGTTTTTTTTAATGTGTTTTTATTTTAAATATCCAATTTTTCTCCAATTCTCTTTTATTTCACATTTTTACTGTTTTTTATTTTATTTTTTTAAATACATTTTTATTTCAGTTTCTTACCTTTTCTTACTATTTTTTTAAATAACAGTTTTTTTTTTGTGGATATCATCGTTTTGACATAACAAAAGATTTTCTTTTTCAACATCTTAATCTCTTATTCTTCGCACAAAAAAAGAAGGGAGGTAAACTTTTTATTGTTCTCTTCAAGAGTTCGACGGAAAAAAAAGTGTACAAATTTCTTTTTATCAAGATAAACATATATGTATATAGTATATTTAAATATTAATCTTAAATCGATTTATTATTGAAGTTGTTAAAGCTGCTAAGTAATTATCTTATTTTATAGAGAAATTGAATTGTCTCCTACCTTTTATGTCTATAAATATTTCTACCAACTAACACTATGACACGTGTCATCATTCCATATTTACTTAACTATCTCATTAATAGTTGGACGGAAAAAAAAGTGTACAAATTTCTTTTAATTTGTTGTTGATTTGTTACATTGTGACATTTTGTTGCTGTCATATAAATGCTGAAATATATTTTAATTATATAAAAGTGTTGTTTTAAGGTATATGAATTTGATAACACTTTGTGGCAACTAGACGTATGTGATGTTTATTTAGTGTTTTTTTGGTATTTTGAAATTGTAATTTTGCAACAGTCGTTTTAATTATCTATTTATTTTATAATATAAAATTTCCTTTTAATTTTATTGTAATAGTTTAATTAGGAAATTATTAAATGTAATAAATGAAAACTGAATGCTACCAAATGAGAACCATAGAGATTGGTGTTTTAAGAAGTTTCACCGAAAGTCCGAAACATCAACAAGTGATAGCAAAACAAGTAGGAACCGAGCATTAACATGTTTGTTTTTTGTCTCTAGAAAAAAAAAAAAAAAAAAAACCTGCTATTTAATAAAAGACAAAACTACAAAATTGGTCCCTTTGGTATTCAAAAAACTTTGGATAGGGTCCAAAAAGTTTTCAATTTGCATGGATGGTCCAAAATCAAGAATTTCTTTTGGTTTTGGTCCCTAAACAATTTGAAATGACTATTTTACCCTTTTCATTTGTTTTTTCTATTTTCTTTATTAACTTAAGTATTTAAATAATTAGAAAATAATAAAAAAAAAATCCTACCCCACCCCACCCTATCACTCCACCGGTAACCTCTCTCTCATGTTGACATAAACACATACATACACAGATCTTTCAAACAACTACATCGAAACCATTTAAGCCCTTCAAATCGAAATCAGGAGGAACACACATACACAACCAAAAATAAAATCAAACTAAAATTGAAGAGACAAATATACACAACCAAAATTGAAATTGAAATAAGAAGAAACCCATGATTTACACTTGTGTTTTTGTTCACCGAGTCAAAATTGAAATTGAAGAAACACACATAACAATAACAATATGAAGATTGTTAAAAAAAAACAAGATTTGCTAAACCTGAATCTGTACCATCCATGAATTCTCCTTCACGGTTCTCTGACTCCATTGGTTGAATCCTGGATCTGTACGATCTATACAAATTTCTTCTTTCTTATAACTTATACTTCTCGTCATGACATTTTCACAAAAACATCTTAATGATCGAAATGTATTCCCCTCAACAATCCTAGTAACCTTAAAAGAATCAAGATTCCTTCTCTGGGTTCACCCCACCACCATTTTCCTGTCAAAACCTTGAATCTGCCGTTTATTACCACAGTGTTCAATGGTGATACTCCCCATTTTCACATTCTTTCAAATACACAGTGTGAAAAATGATGATGGGTGCATCCAATTTGATGATGGGGTTAACCCTGGTCCTTGTGGTCTGTCTTGTTGTGGTTCTTGGCTTTGTCTTGGTTCTATTCGCTGAGCTCCACTGCTCCATCCTCGTCCGCCGCCGTCAACTTCAACAAACCACCACCACCGTCACCGCACCTCTAACCATAGTAGACAGCAACAACAACTCATCTTCTCCCCCTCCCCCTTCATTTGTCGGTGACGACATAGAGAAGCAGCAACAACTTCCTCAACAGCCGAAAAATCAAGAAAATAACCAAGAAGGGCTTCAATGGTCTCTTAAATTTAAACCCACCACCACCAATTTAGGGTTTTCTCCTTGCATTTCAGGATGAAGTCGATTTGGGGTTATTTTTACGAAGGTGGGATTTGTGTTCTCTGTTGGTTTATGAGAGAGAGAGAGAGAGAGAGGTGGGGTTACCGATGGAGTGATAAGGTGGGGTGGGGTATATTATTTTTTTATTATTTTCTAAATATTTAAATACTTACGTTAATAAAGAAAATAGAAAAAACAAATGAAAAGGGTAAAAGAGTCATTTCAAGTTCTCCAAGGACCAAAACCAAAGGAAATTCTTGATTTTGGACCATCCATGCAAGTTGAAAACTTTTTGGACCCTATCCAAAGTTTTTTGAATACCACAGGGACCAAATTTGCAGTTTTGTCTTAATAAAACAAAAAAAAAGTGAAAAGGTGAAATAAAAGAGAAAGGGATAAAATCAGATATTTAAAATAAAAAAAAACTGAAAGTAAAGAGAAATAAAAAGAAATGGTGTGTAGAGGACAATGTCGAAGGTGGATTGGGGGGTTAACGTCTGAGCTCTAGAGCCTACATATTGCAAAAGTGATACCTTAACTGAGGGCAGAGATAAAAATGAATTGGGAGTACTAGTCAGTTTGACAAAACTATAAAATTGATCCTTGTGGTTAGCAAAAAGTTTTGGATGGAGTCCAAAAAGTTTTTGATTTGCATGGAATGTCCAAAATCAAGAATTTTTTTTGGTTTTGGTCCCTGAAAATTTGAAAGGACTATTTTGCCCTTATTATTTATTTTGTTACATTTTTATTATTTGTTTTAATTGTTTTATAATTAAAAAAAGCAAAAGAATAGAAAAATAGAAGGACAGGTCCACCCCACTCTCTCTCTCTCTCTCTCTCTCTCTCTCCACCCATCATCTTCCCCATTCTTTCTAATTTTTTCTCCCCTGAATCCTAATCTGGAACATGATACCTAAATTTAAAAAACTTATAATCTTGTTTAAGATAAAATCTAATAGCAAAAATTGACATGGATAAACGAATAAACGCTTGTTTCATTCATTCAGAAATGACTCAATTAGGTTAAAGCTTATTGTTCTTCTTCTACAAAACCCCCAAAAGATAGCAACTTTTTCCTCAATCTTGTTGTCTAACGAACACTGCGTGAATAATCCGGTTGTTGAGCAACATCACCATTCAACCTCAAACACATCTCAATCGCGATAACATTGTTCTGAAAATGATAGTTTCATACAATTTTCAAAATCAGGTAACAACGAACAAGAAATTAAGCTGAAAATTGACCCAAATGAAGACATTTGAAACTTCAGAAGAAATTATTTGATATAAAGGTAGCGATTTCAGTTCTTGTTCCCAATTAAAGATGAAACTAACCTCCGAAATGGGACTATGAGATTGATCGGACAAATTGGAAGGAAGTAAACCAGGTGTATGAACACGCTAATTTGATTTCTCTTTAACCCTCGTCGTCTTTAAATTCTGCGACGACGATTCATCTTCCATGAAGGCGTCATCCACCACGACGGTGCTAATTTACCGGATCTGGACTCGCCTCCCACCCAATTCTTCCCCATCATAATCGTTCTCTTAAATTGGTAACTATTCACTTCCGGATCTTGCTCGCATAATGTTTAATAGGATTACAGTGGTGTGAGTGGGTTTTCTTGTGTAAAAGAGAAGGCATCAACCATGGATGAGGTAGAAAGGATAGAAGGGTTGAGGAAGACGACCTGATAAGAGAGAGAGAGAGAGAGAGAGAGAGAGAGAGAAAAAAAGAAAGAAAATGGTGGGTACGGTGAGAGTAAAGGGTGAGTGGGGCAATTCTTTATTTTTTAATTATTAAATTGTTAAGAAAATGGTAAAATTATACAAAAAAAGAAATCAAAAGTGCAAAGTAGACATTTCAAGTTTTTTAGGACCAAATTCACGGAAAAATCCTAATTTTGGACCTTCCATGCAAGTAAAAAACGTTTTTGGACCCTATCCAAAATTTTTTGGAAACCACAGAGACCAATCTTGCATTTTTGTCTATTAGTTTACTAAAAGACCGGGACCAAAAGTGAGCACATTTAAAACTTTGGTGGCAAACTTGGGAAACACCTAAAGCATACGATTCAATGAGAATTAGGGGTTGTTTGGCAGGATCTGAATTTTTAAGAGATCTGAATTTCTAAGAGGGTCTGAAATTTTAAGAGTTGAATGTTTAACATGTTGTTTGGTTGGGACCTCTGAATTGTTGTGCTAAATTATTAAAATGACTATTTTACCCTTCTGTTTTATTTTTTATTGAATTCAACTGTTTGTTTAGAAAATAACCTAATAAATTTCTTAAATACGTATTAAAAAAATATAAACACCATATAAAATCCAAATTTAGCAAGTTTATTCTTACATTATGCATAAAAATGCAAGTTTATTCTTACATTATGCATTTAACTCTTCTAAAACTACGACATAAACAAGGATTTATAAACAAATTTACAAACTACCATAACTTATACATCCTCTGATGTCAAACAGTGTTTGTAACTTTGTATCAAGTACAATTTTTTTTTCAAAACTTTAAAAAAAAAATAAAAATTGAATCAAAATCTTTACTTCTTTCTCAAATAAACCCGAGAGATCAAGGCTCCAAGACATTCCAATGAGCTCAAAAAGCATTGACATGGGTAGGTAATTCTTGATTTTCTACAGCCTGCAGCAAGAAAATTCAAGAACTTGATGAAAAGTTTCAACTTTTTTCAAAAATAAAAAAAAGTAGCATTTGATTTCTTACATTCTCTTGTATTGACAAAACTTCATCTTCATTAGGTTTTGCAAGAGTGTAATCTTGTTTAAACCATTCATCTACTTTAATATCTGCCATTGTTATCCTTTTCGGGTTTGGATCAAGAATTCTCTTTATAAGACTCTGTGCTCCTGGAGTCATCCATTTATGCATTCGCACATCCCCTTTGCAAATCTAGAAAAACCCCAAATCATTACAACATTAAAGAATCAATAAAGATTACAACTATATGCATTTTTACCTTCTGATAAATCAAAGCTAGGTTTCTATCATCAAAAGGTAGATACACTGTAAGCATTGCATACAAGATGAGTCAGATGACACCACAAGACCAAGTATCAGATGCCCCTCCATCATACCCTCTGTTAGATAACACTGTTAGATAACACCTCAGGAGCTATAGCCTTGGCATCTGTTAGATAAATCACAGCTAGGTTTCTATCATCACGTGTAGATTTCAATAAAACGATCTAACAACCCTAAAAACCATTTGTCTTCAAACGATTTCAAGAATAGAGTTAACATAAATTGATTTTTGGAAAATTAGAGAAAAACAAACCTAGTGCGTGATGGAGGTTCAGTGGCGGTCGTCGGCGCTGTCGAGGGAGGATACCAGCACTGAAGAAGGTGGTGTTGTTGGAGATTGGCTTCGGAGGTCTGACCTTGGTGGTAGGAGTCGATATCAGAAGTTGTGAGAAACTCGTGTGTATGAGATCGACGATGGGGGCGGCGATGCTGTGCGACATCGACGATGGGAGGAGGTGAGGGGAGATTATCGGCGCTAGAGATGGTCGGATTTGGGAGGAGATCGGAGGGATGATTAAGGCGGGTGTGTGTTTGATGGACGGGCGTACGAGGGCAAACGAGGGAACACCGCATTTCTTTTCTTTTTTTCAGATATGAGCTGAAGTCTGAAAGTTTAAGAGGCTGTCAAAATATTAAGAGGCTTTTATTCATACCCAACCAAACACTCTTAATCTGAATAATTAAGAAGTTGCCTCTTAATTTTTCAATTAAGAGGCTACCAAACAGCCCCTTAGTATTATAAATTAATATTATATATAATTTTCTTTTGGATATAAAATAGTAGAAAAGGTAATAAAATGAATCTTACCCGCCAAGTCTTCGCTAAATTATCAATTGACTAATGACTTCTTACGTCTGATTTTTTTTAACGAAATAGATAGCAAAAAAGGCTTAAACATTTAGCAAGTAGCTAAAGAGCACAATACAAAGTATTACAAAGAGATTACATAATAATATGAGTAAAAGGAGAAATACTTCAATCAACCCAACTACCAGTCTACCACAAACACTTCTTACGAGCACTAGCTGTTTTTTTAATTAAAAAGAACAAGCCATTATTCATAATTTTTTCGAAAAATCATTGGTAAAATAAGATTTTCTTAACATCAAGATATTGTTTATGTTAATAGAAGTGATTCATTTATAATAGTTGTTTTTACAAATAATAATTTATGTTTTATAGAGTTGTAAAATATAATAAATTGATATGTGATAAATTAATATGTTATGTATGAATCAACTCTCCAACTAATATCATAAAAATTAGCAATATTACGGTGTTACACATAGTTAGCAACTGCCTACCCAATTTTGGATTGTTGGAGGGAACATCTCTTCCAATTAACTAAGGAAATACAGAAATAACCAACTGGAAAATGTTCCAATAAAGAAATTTAATCATGCATAAAAATTTTCAAGAACTTGCTAACCAAGAGTTACATAGGTGATATGTCAACAAATTTTGATAAAATTAAAGAATAAATGTTTATATTGAAAGTAGTTCGATTTTATTATGAAAATGCAATATATTTAATTTAGATGTTAACTTTTTTGTTGAGTAATGTAATTGATATAGATTAAATAATTTAATTTGGTCCAATAATTCGTCATATCTATTTTTCAAAAGAACTCTATACATATATTTTTAAAATATATTTTAAATCATGTGTCGCATTATTTTTTACTATAAAAAAGTCTATACATATGACACGTACGAGTACAAAACATAGTTATCTTAATTAATAAGCTTGCTTAAAACTTGAATAACTTTGCCCATTCAAATGAGTCATTATATATTATAAGGTGGCATGGTACACGTGTTTTCTTAAAGACTATAACATAAAATGAAAATGAGTGATAAAAATAAAGAAAATGATCATAAACTATATTGCGAGAAATTACCTTAGACTGCTAAGAACATCATTTCCGAAAAAGTTTTTTTAGTTTTAAAAAAAATATGAATTGTCTTTTCATTTTGACTATGAAAATCATAGACCATACTAAGAAAATCATAATCCAACTATGAAAATCAATACGTTTTAGCGGATATTACTTTATAAAATATTGTTTTGTAAATATATATATATATATATATATATATATATATATATATATATATATATATATATATATATATATATATATATATATATATATCAAAAGAAAAAATTTCAATATGTTTTTTCTTCTGATATTTTTATCAATTTATCCATTTTACCCGTTCTGTTCTTGTTGAGATAACATAAATTCAAAAGATTCAGATTAGTATTTTATTGTTGTTTGTATTGGTGGTGCATGACACTCAGAAAATGAGAATTGATATACGTTAGACCATCTGATAGAAACTTTGGTGTTGAAATTCTTTTCGATATAAATTTTCTAGATTTATACAAATTGGTCAAAGAGAGGACATGTTTGGATGACAAAACAGTGTGTCTTTCCGACACCCTACATTGAAGTATCTTATCCAAATAGTTAATAGGGGTGATATGAAGCATTTAAAAAAGTTTATTCAGATGGGTTCAACTCTTATACATTTGTATGTTGTGGATAATGATCTAGTAGAAGACTCACATAATGCTCAATACAATGTTGCAAATTGATATGTTGCTTGTCGTAATCGATCTAGCGAAAAAAGAGGGTCTGGTAGTAGAAAAGGGAAAAGCTCTACTGAGAATAGATCCAACGGAAGAGATAGCAACAATCAAGTATGTATGCATATCTCTCTAAATGATCCTCGTAATGTTGGTAGATATATTGTATATGGAGCACTGATACACCAACAGTCCAATCCACAAGTTATTTATGAAAACTAGTATACGTATTGACAAATTTAGTATGCAAATTCTGAATATTATGTGTCATATCAAATGTCGGTAACACCGTATCAAACACTGGCACGACCATATCAAACGTCGTTACCACTATATCAAACGCCAGTAGCACCATTTCAAACACCGATGGTACAATATTAAACGACGGTTGCAGAATATCAAAGGTCGGTTGTTCCACGTCAAATGCCTATAGAACGGAAAATTTGTTATGGCAAACCGTTAAATTGTCAGAACTTTAGTTATGTTGATAAAGTTACATGTAACGACGGTGGTAATGATGGTACCAGTCATAACAAAGGTGGCTATGATCATTTCACAAAAAGTGGTAAGCCAAAAGAAGAAATCGTTTTGAGGAAATCCGACACAGAAGAATATGATGTTGAAATTGAATAACTGAATGTCGTAAACAATCATGAATATACAGTTGGTCCATCGCACAACTAAAACTCGAATGATGTAATAAATGTGCTACAAATTTACAACAACAAAGTATCTCTAGTTGGCACTAGGAGTAAGAACTATAGAGGAGGGTTTCAGTACAAAATTGCTAGATTTACCAAAAAAAAAATATTGCACGTGAAGTGTGTTGATAAAAATTATAAATTTTATGTTACATCTTTTAAAATAAATGAATGTAACATGTTCCAGATTCACATACTAGTGGACCAACACACATGTTATTCAACAACACAATTAAACCCAATCCATCACCAAGCAAGAAAAAAGTGTTGGATATATTGTTGTCAATGTGTTGGGTAATGATCAAGGTAGAGTCTACCGCAGACTCCACATCGAAAAAGATTTAACATTGAGGTTCAAAATTCATGTTATCTGCAAACAAGCATGGCATGCCAAAACAGTTACACATTAATCTTCTGGGGGGAACTCAAGTGGGGTCATTTCCCAAGATATACATATAGTGCTACAACCTAGAGAAGCGTGATTTTGGTTCAATTACACATTAAAACGGATGTTGATGACCGCTTTGAGTTCTTGTTTTCTACATTGGTTTCATGGTAGTAATTATCATCTGTGTATGAAGTTATTTTCATTAACTTCAACATTTATATAGTCATCATCCATTTATTAACTTGTTTTGATTGTATTGTAGCTAAGGGCATTTCACAACATCTGTTGGCATGCACTCATGATTGGCGGGGCCCACTTTAAGGGTAAGTTCAAGGGAATCGTGTTGGTGGCAGTGCTGATGAAAAAAACTGTGACATCCTTACTTTTACAATATGGACAATCTGATGATAAAGTCACTCAAGAGTCTAAAACACGCCTGAAGCGTGGAAGGCCATTTGGTTCTAAGGATAAGGACCCACGAAAAAGAAGAGGAGTAGAAAATGAATTAGATCATGAGGAAAGTGTTCCTGGAGAAACACAAAATATCAAAATTCCCCCACGAAAGGAAGATGTTATACTAAATTATGGTCAAACAAATAGAATGTGTGACCAAGATGAAACTGATAATATACGTGCAACATTTTCTTATTCAGTTGCATGTGATATTAATCTATCATTGAATGTCAAAGAAGAAATGATTGGGCTAAATGGAAAGAGGCTATGCAAGTTGAATTAAATTCTCTTAACAAGAGAAACGTTTTTTGGGCCATTATCCTCACACCTAGAGTTGTAAAACCATTAGGGTATAGATGGACCTTCGTACAAAAAAGAAATAAGGAAGAAGAAATTGTAAGATACAAGGCTAGGATTGTGGCTGAAGGTTTCTCTCAAAAACCTAGAATTGATTATGAGGAAACTTATTCACCGGTAATGGAGCAACCTGTAACATCCTTAAAAATACGGTCCAAAAATTTCATTTTTAAATCATTAGTGAAAGCCATAATTATCAACCATTTCATTCATAAACAAAACTGTTATATCAAATCAGAGTATAATCTCAAAACATATTCTTTTTATCAGAGTAAAACATCCCAGGCTAAACAAACAATGGTGTGTGCCATGCGATCACCCCGAGCTCTTCCCTCCGCTACCGGAAATACCTGAAACCAAAACAAAAACCGTAAGCATGAAGCTTAGTGAGTTCCCCAACCTACCACATACCACACACATAACCACATACTGGGCCCCCGCCCGCTGCATCGAGACTTGCCCGGCATCGGACTAGCTCCGGCATCGGGCCCCGCCCGGCATCAGGCCCTGCCTGGCATTGAGCCCCGCTCGGTATACAGATATGTCTCTCTTAGGCCCCGCCCGCTAAACACATACAATCATATACATAGCACATAACACATAAACTAAACATACTCTACTGAAGTCATGCTCTAAGGCCTCGCCTATCTTGGGCCTCGCCCCTGTCCTGCTGCTGATGAGACATGAAACCCCATCCACGCTCCTGTTAATAGTGAGATACGGGTCCCCGCCCACACTCACCTCTTTACTAAATCGAGCCTCGCTCCTTCTCTGCTACTAATTAGATATGGAACCCCGTCCATACTCTGCTAGTGGTAAGATACGGGACCTCGCCCACACTCACCTCCCTACCAGGCGAATACGAGTATCACACAGACAACCAGTATAAACTATCATACAAACATTCCTCGGGCACCCGCCCGGCATCGGACCTTGATCCGGAATCACATACTAGCATACAGTGCCTAGGGCTAACCCCCGGGTCTTCCTACTCATAAACTACATGGGCCGACATTGTGGCCGTAGACCCATTCACACAGTGAGGAGACTCACCTCACACTGCTGAAGACTAGCTGAAAC